TAACTTCAATTAACTTTTCCAAGTTATCAGCCAGGATTGAGGGACCTAAGCCTACAGCCCCCCCCCCCCCAAAAGCCATTTCTGTCAGAATAAAAATATACATAACCACATGCTGGTTTCCACTCTAATCATACTTGTTTCATGACAAAGGACCAAATTAGGCACACTTCACACCCCTTGGAAAATAGCCTTAGAAATTTAGGCTATATTCTCCTTAGTTGAGCAAAAGAGCTATAACGGTGTGAACACCAAGTAAGGGTTGTGTATAAACATTTGCTGCAAATCAGTGGTGGGTTCAGGATTCTGTTGCAATAGGTACACTGCAACAGGGCCAGGCGTCCACCACAGCCCATAATGCTCCAGCTGCTCAGCGGAGCGTCGCGCAGGCACCATGCACAAATGCTCCAGTTGGCTCAAATAGGTAAGGAGAAGAGGCGGGTGGGTGGGCCCTCCGGAGCACCGTACCAGAACGGTACCTGGTCCTGCTAGCATGCACCGGTACGCCTGTACTGGGGTGTACCGGTTGTAACCCCCCACTGCTGCAAATACTTTACAAACAGTCAGTATAAATCTTGCCCTTTGGAATAATAGAAAAATTGCAGAGTTATTGTCAATTTTGGGGCATTTTGTTTAATTTAATCCTAATGGGCCTCACACTCACCACAGATGGGAACCCTATCCCCAATATTTAATCGATTGTTCATTTAACTTCCAAACATCAGCTCTGGGGCCTTTGGCAAATCCCAAAATCTTACTTTTGGAATAATTTATATTTGAAGTTCCTTCCTTACAATGAACAATTCCATGATTACCACACAGAGATATAACTTATTTCCTATATGACAGTTAAGAGCTCTGTAAGGAGAATTATTTTTGTGAGTCATTTTCCGTGTTGCTCAACCTAAAATTTCATGAATGGCTTAATCACTTATCACACAAATTTGTCTTGCAATGTCAGAGGATAAGAGCCTGAAACTAGACTAGTCCACTTCCAAAACAAATAACAGGTTCCTCCAATCCAAAAGATGGATAGTTTCAAGCTTGTTACATTAGATAAACAAAAGAAAAAGGCACAAGTATCGTGTTTCCCTGAAAATAAGACGGGGTCTTATTGACCCCCAAAATAAACACTTGGCCTTATTTTTGGGGAGGTCTTATTATTTTTGAGGTGCAGGAAGTGGCAAGCATGGTCACTTAATGGCTGCTGCTGTGTTGCAATATTTTCGGGGAGGGCTTTTTTCATGCACAGACTCAAAAGCCCGACTGGGCTTATTATCTGGGAGGTCTTATTTTGGGGGAAACAGGGTATTTAAAATCTTATTTTCACGAGTTTTAAATTTTCCATTTGATACCAAGCAAGTCACCAGATTTATCTCATTATTTTCATTCTCTTTTTTAAAAAATACATTATTATCAGGGGTTGTGTGTCCCTGAGTACCTATAGTACCAGGGGTGGGTTTCAGCCGGTGTTCGTGCTGGTTCGCTCATGTGTGCTGGATGCACGCTGCGTGCACATGGGCAGTTCAATGGGAATTGTTCTGCACATGCAGAGAACTAAAAAAAATGGTGGTGGCAGCGAACAAGGAACCGGTTCAGGGGCATGGCCAGCCTGGGTCGCTGCAGGTTCTGAGATCCAGGCTGGCATAACACTACCGGTTTGCCTGAATTGGGCCGAACCGGTAGGAAGCCACCTCTGTATATAGTCCTTGTTTCCATGTTGATGAAAGAAGGCCAATTAAATGATCAGCATCCTAAGTAGGGTGGGAGAGTCAGTTGATCCTCTTGGATTTTGAAAGTTATTTCATAAATATTCCCTCAACATGATAGCCACAGGGAGAGGGGCTGATCAGTCACAAACTGTCTATCATTGGTTATCATGGCTGGTCACAAAAAGCATTTATCAGAAACAATGCTCATAAATATGTCCTCTGTTGTTCCCTCTAGTCTCTCAAGATATTCCTCATGACCTTCCAGGTTCTCTTTTGGTCTTTTTAGTAACATGAACCCATTTCCATGCAACGATGTAGTTCAGGGGTGACAAACGCGCATCGTCACGGCAGCATCACGTGACATATTGCAACTTTTCCTCCTTTGCTAAACCGGGCATGGGGCATGATCTGCATGTTCAATTTCATTCTAGAAAAATGTTTTGGGTGGGGAAAAAAAACCCCTTGATTTATAAAATTATACTTTCCATTTGGAACCATTGTTCAGAAGAATTTTCCAAAGTAAGTGGAATGGTGGGTCTGTCCCAGCCTTTTTGTTACTGAGGGTAGATTAAAAAATCATTTTACATATTTTAAATGTTTTGCCTGATTTTTTACTTTATTTTGGTTGTGGAGGGGTTTTTTTCCCCACTAATGTCTTAAAACCTGTTCCGGAATTTCTCTTGGGAAGCATTGATATAGAAAGTCACACCATGCAAGGATTTTCCTATTTGTATTTTTCCAGGGGATGCAAATTTGGAATCCCATGCTTTTAACAAGTGATGCTTATTCTTCCATTTGCCTTTTAATAGTCTTTGACTTATGATCACTGTTGGGATTGCCACAAACCAGGAAATCCGCATTGCCATTTGTTAAGCAAATGTTACCAATCATTAGCCAAGGAACCACTAATTCCAAACTTCTGTATACCTCGTCCCTCCCAGACCCAAACCCCGGTAAGACCTCCAACGCCCCTCACCCACCCATTTCCTCCACATCCCTGACTTTTTGGCAGCCCTGCGCCTTGCCTTCCAGGGTGGGAAGCGGTCCTAGCCCAGTTCCCGTCACCCTCACCACCCTGCACTGACCCCCCCTGCTATCCTGTATTCTGCCATCCCAGCTCACCTTCACTGTCATGTCCTTGCTCTCACTGTAGACGAGGCATGCCCAGCCTAGATTCTGGGTTAGCAGAAACAGTTTAGCCTTCAGAAGGATCGTGTTAGGAAGGCCAGAAAACTATCAGATACAATTGTTCTAGCAACGGTTTGGAAGGAAGCTTCTCCAAATAGTGCAATCCCCAAGAATGAGACCCACTTAAAGAATGGTGCACGGTAGCCATGACCGAAAGGTGTGCCTCACACCAGCTCAGCATGCCTCTCAGCCACTGCAGAACATTGCAAAAGGAAGTGGAGCTAGACATAAGGGAGTGGAGAGGAGAAGGCAGGGAGCAGGCCAAAGCTGCCAAGGCTGAGACAACTTGCACACACTAGTGGGGGATTAAGGTGGGAGGACATACAGGTGAATGGGGGCAGTTATAGCATTCTATGGTTGTAAGGACAGGTGGACTACAAAGCACCCAAATTTTGACCACATGACAGTGAAGGTGCTACAACATCCATAACTTCAGGAAAGGGTCATAACCTTCTTTATTCCACACCATCATAATCCTATCTGCAGAAATCAAGAACCCTTCAATTTAGCTAATCCATATTCTTTACAGGGCTTCTAAACTTGGTATTCTTTCCAAATCCAAATTAAAGTTTAAACCAATACAAAAATACCAATACATTTTGAGAAAAATATTTTATTTTATTACCAGATCTAAGTAGACAAAACATAATGATGTTACTATCCATGAACCTCTCCTGCCTAACATGACCATTATCCACTGGCTATTAAAACAGTAATGGCAACCAAATTATTTAAACTAGCAGCATAAATGCTTATGTGTATGTAGCCCAAGAGGGTTCCTTCTTAAACATCATAATTGTATGTACTGCTGAAACACAACTTACAGAATCCATTATAATGTGCAAATTGAAAAAAGGTTAAAGCACAAACTCACAGCAAACTGCATGCCTCTAATTAAATATTATTGTGGTTGCTACAGATAATAATAGTATATAAAACATATGCAATGTAGTAAGCTATAATTATATAGTTCTATTCCTAAAAATAACCTTAATAAAAAGCAATTAAGCAAATTTCCTAACTATATTAGTCTATCTACAACAAAAAAAAATATAACTTGTTACATTTTGCACAACTAATTTATATGCAGAATATAAAGGCATGTGCATTACCTTCATTTTCAGAAGCCTGGCATTTTACTTGTATCACCAAATCGAAGGTAGTCTGTGGATTTTCTCTGGAAGTAAAAACAAAATATCTGACTAGTCATGAATTGGTCACAAACATTTACATAATCTAATCACAGGAATGCTATGTTTGTTATAACATTAAACTGCATAATAGTATTGACTCATAATTACTTGTCTCTTAGAATACACAATGATTATTTACCAACCGTCCTTGAGACTTATAGAATTGCATTACAATGCAAGCTCAACAAATATTATTTAAGGTTGACTGTTGAAATTCATTAGATTATGTAAATGTTTGTGACCAATTCATGACTAGTCAGATATTTTGTTTTTACTTCCAGAGAAAATCCACAGACTCCCTTCGATTTGGTGATACAAG